AAGGGCTACCTTGTGTAGCTGCTACCTTGTGTAGCTGCTACAGCAAGGATTGAACAGGGTCAGCTTCAGTATCGAGCATATTTCTCCGCTGGTGCTTTTCAAAGTGTGTAACTGCCTCTGGTATTAGTAGGGAATGATGGGGTTCAAAGGACTTGCAAATCTGAGCAGTGGTGGTTTTGACTCCCTGTGTTTAAGATTTGACAGTACATCTAGTTTTTGAAGTGAGGTGTGGTCTTTCTGAGTTGCCAGTTACTTAAAGGAGGGGGAAAATGCCAGTACTCTAGCTCGTGTGAGCTCCTTCTAGCAGACCCTGCTGACCTTATTCTAAACTATATTACAGCATCTCTTAAGGTAAATGTGTTGTAGATGCTTCAGTTACGCAGAAGCCTAGGATTAATAAAAGGTAACCATGCAGTTGGTGAGCAGTGGTCTTCTCTGAGAGCCTGCACATTGTGCCAGAATTGCAGAGGGAGTAAGTATGCTGTGGGAAGGGGTGTCTTTTACAGCAAATGTGAAATTAAGTTAATGACTGATCTCTGTTAAAAAAGCCTAGAGCTTTACCTCATGTTGCTTGATCGTATTCCATTCTAGATAATCATCTTTTCCTGGTAGTTCTAGATATTTGTGGGGTTTTTTTTGATCTTGATCCAACTTGATACACAGTTCCAGATCAGTCTGACTACGTTCATAATTAGTTTGTAGAATGCACTGGGATTTTCTGGTGTGAAATCTGCTCCCTACAAATAAGAGATGGGTATCTCCTGCTTACTGCAACCACAGAAATAAGCTGTGTTCAACTGTCTGTAACATACAGTATTGCTAGAGTAGTTGCTTAATGCTTAAAACACTAAGTAAAAATTGTTAACACTTGCAATTAAGGTTACTTTAGCTTCTGCTTGAGGGTCTGTATCACAGTAGTTTGCAAATTTGTCTTTTAATTTGTATTTGATAATTTCTACTTTTCCTTAGTGTGTTGGTACAGCTGCCAGCAAAAGGTGTCCTTCCAGAATTGATTTTGTGGTCTTTCTAACTTCCTGTGGGAAGGAAGGCAGTATTTCATTTCCTTCCCCTAAAACTAGGACAATCCTGATAAACAGATTATCTGCTTCTGTTACTTCATCATGCAGTGCAGGTGTACACAGGCATATCAGCAGTTTGGGTTTTTTCTTGAAGGGCTGTTGCCATAAGTACTCGTGAACGCGCTGTAAGTTTTAAACCTGAGTTCAACAGACAAATTTGTCCCTGGCTGAGCTGTATTCCGTGGTACGAGGTGTTCAGAGAGCCCAGCGGCAACAGGGTTTGATGGGAAAGCCTGGGATAGCATGACCGTACACAGAAGTCCCTCCTGGAAGTGGGTTCACAGGAGGCCACGAAGATGATCCGAGGGCTGGAGCACCTCTGCTATGGAGACAGGCTGAGAGAGTTGGGGCTGTTCAGCCTGGAGAAGAGAAGGCTCCGGGGTGATCTTACAGCAGCCTTCCAGTACCTAAAGGGGCTACAGGAAAGCTGGAGAGGGACTTTTTACAAGGGCGTGTAGTGATAGGACACAGGGCAATGGCTTTAAAGTGAAAGAGGGGAGATTTAGATTAGATCTAAGGAAGAAATTTTTCACTCAGAGGGTGGCGAGGCACTGGCACAGGTTGCCCAAAGAAGTTGTAGATGCCCCATCCCTGGAAGTGTTCTAGGCCAGGTTGGATGAGGCTTTGAGCAACTTGGTGTAGTGGAGGGTGTCCTTGCCCATGGCAGGGGGGTTGGAACTGGATGATCTTTGAGGTCCCTTCCAACCCAAACCATTCTGTGATTCTGCTTTGGATGCTGCTGCTCATCTGCCGGCGTTGGCAGCAGGGCAGCATGAGTCTGGAGCTGCCCATTACCACCACCCCTCTCTTGTTGCTCATCTCCTTCATCTCTTGGTTTCCCTCCTCTGCAGCATTTCAAGTGGAGCACAGCAGCAGCAACCTGCTGGTCAGATGTGATGTTTTGCTCCCTGTGTCATCCATGTTTTCTCTAACGTTACAGATCCTAAAGGAAGATTAGGCCCCCGGCATTTGTGTGTTACCTTAATTTAAAACCTGAGCCTGGAGTCGGTTGTTTAACATCTTATAGGTTTTATTCCTGTATTTGCTACTGAAAAATCTCCCTTTGTCACTCTTCTGTTTTAGACGCTTCCTGATGGTCTAATTTTGATTTCTTACGATTTATTGTTTTTTAAATTCAGCATCCGACCTTCCCTCCGTACGCCATGAGGCGGTACAGGCGTGGCTGGAGACGGTCCCTGGAGGTAGTTTGGTGATGTTCTATGTATTCCAATGCACAATAACCCTGCCCGTCTCTTCTCCATGCCTTCAGCAGCTGAGCTGGTACTTTAACCCTGGAACTCACGGCCCTGTCGCTACTGCATGACTGGAGATGGAGGGAGGGAGGGAGGGAAGAAGGGGGAGTGTGCATGCACGCCTTGCTCAGGCAGCCCGTTCTTGCATGAACTTGACATTTGTCGTAACCCTTCCGAAGTCAGGCCAAACAAAGGGGTTGTCTTGGCTGTAATAAAATAGAAGGAGGGATCTAGTTGAGTGTTTTGATTTGCTTTGTAAACCGAAGACTGCCCCAGTTTTCCTTCCCCTAGCTCCTTGACTAAAAGAACACGGGGCTTTCTTGCAGTTGAAAGATCAAGTGAGAAAAGTGCTTAAAGCAATTGCAGTTCTCTGTAGCAACTGCAAACTCGAGTTGCAAAATCTGGTGAAGAAAACACGAAAGAAGAATAAGGTTGAAGCTGGAATCTAGGAATAGTGGTGGCTCTTATGTCTCCTTTGACTTGGAGTTCCCGTTATTTAGGAAAGCTGAAGGATGGTAAGGCTTAGCTGCTTTTTTATGTGATCTCTAAGCTCTATTGCAAAACTGATCTGGGATTAGAGTAAGGGAGTAGATTTGTGTCAAGCGGTGAAGGAACCTGAGTCAGTGAACAGCAGTAGTCTGTGGGTAGGTAGCGGAGCTGCAGCTGAGTTGCTTTGGCACGTCGGAACAGCCAGCTTGCCTACAAAACTTTGCTTCTGCTGCTGCTTTGGCAAGGCAGCAGTGTTGACAAGATACCTGCACGTGGTGCAGTCTGCTCACGGCTGCTAGCTGATACGAACCTAGTGCTAATCCCAGTTCTGGCTGCCATAGTGTGTAGCTTCTGAGTTGTTGTGTGACAGCTTTTGGCCTCTTGCTCCTTATCCTAACTGCGTATACGTTTATGCACAGTATGTGTATAGTATAAGTAGCCACCTGCAAGCACCCCATGTCCTTCAAAACGGGATCCACCCTTGCACCGAATTGTGACACATCTGTAATCTTTTGTTGAGTTTTGTGTACCAACCTATTTAAGAGTTGATTTTTCTCCTCTCTCTCCAACTCTCCCTGTGTGTGTCATGTTGGTTCATGGTTTCTGGACCTGAAGACACACATATACATATGGTGTCAGATATTCCCAACACCAGAGTAACGTTTTTTGCAATTTTTGATTAAGATTACTCACATTTGCTGCTACCATAAAACCCTCCTATGACATTACTATTTCCACAATAACATAAGCTGCTGCATACCTAAGCAACAATCAGACTGGTGCACAGTTTGGTTTTGTGCAGCAGGTTTGTAAATGCCCCTTTGGGCAGTCCAGCCTTTGCCATATGTTTTGGTCTCCTACGCTTGACGTCTGTAAGACTCTGGATTTTATAAGCCTCTGACGTAAGGGAGTAGGCCAGTGCTTTGTCACACGTAGGTGTAACTGCCTTTTCAGAGTAGTTGACAGAATGTTTGTCTGCTTTAATACTACAGAGGGGAAAAAGCAAGCGAAAAGAGAAATTCTCAGGTTGGAGGAAGAAGGCAAACCACCCACTGAAGGCTGTCTTTTGAAATAAGCAAAAACCTGTGTTAGAGAAAGAGGAGAGGCTGCAAGACCTCAATTTCTGAGAGGATTCCTTTGTTTTCAGGGTTGTCCTAGTTAGCAATGCTTAGCATATAAATGGTTCTAAAAGCCACATCATCACTAGTAAACACAAAGGATTAGGGCCTGCTCCCTGACTCTGGAGAGAGCTGGCACAGCATGATTCGCTCCCATATGGCTAAACTTTTTTGCCATCCAGAATTTCCAGGGGGCTGGAAACAGCCTCCAGCCCTACGGTGGGAACTAACTGCTGGGAGTCACACCAGGGACCCTCTAAAGATGACAGAAGGTCCAGAGGCTTGCACCACTTAATTTACTGCTATAGGTGCAACCAAGAAGGTTATAAATATCTCTGTTATCATCGTTACAGGACCATATCCTGTGTGTATGATTAGCAAAGGTTGTGCATAATAATACATGCTGACTGTGTACACATTTGTAATGGGATGTACAACAGAGTTAAGTGCCTGCATGTTGTTGAACAGGAATTGATGCTAACTCACTGCACAAATCTAAAAATGTAGTTGACTGACTCTACTGTGGGGAAAAAAAAATCCTGGAGGTGCTTGCTTCTCTTTTTTTTAATATTTAAATTATGTTTTATAAAAATGCTTAACAAAAAAAACTTAAGCAAATAATCCATAGCACTAGAGATAAGACAAGGTGTCATAAGGTTTAGTTTTTTTTAAAAAAGTGTCATTTAATAATAAGGTTTAGACCCCCCACAGTTTGTTCTTGTCTGTCCTCCTAAATAATGTCAAATGCCTTTTTCAGAGTTATAAGTTCAAGAATCTTTATTTTGACCCAGCAAATCAAATTATGATCTGTAACAGAAAAGAAAGTTTTGAATGTATCTTTTTATTTACTTAAAAGTATCTCAGTTAATTTGTGTCCTGGTTACTTGTACAGCATCTCATGTCTCTTAGACCTTTTACCAAAGACTGCTGTAGCTGCACAGAGTTAAGCAGTTTCTAAATGTAATAATGATCAATCCCAGAGCTAGACAGATTCTGAATTACACCCTCAAAAGCCTGTTTCAATTTCAAGATGAACAGTCATGGTACATTGTGAGATTTCAGTTCTCACCCAACACACGTATGCTATGAAGTGGTGGTAACTGTTCTGGTGTGGTAAAGAAAAAAATAATCTTCCTGGAAGAACAGTAAGCATTATTCAGGTTTGATGTCCTCCTAGTCCCTTTCTTGCTTAATTTTTCACGAGGTCTGTTGCTCAGAAAGCCCTGGCTGCTTTCACTGCAGATGCCTTGGAGATTCCCCAAGGACAGACATTCCTTGATTCGTTGGAGTCTGGAAGTATCACTTCACCATAGATGTCTTTCTAGCTGACGCATTTCAGGATTTCTTGTTTTAGCAGTAACTAATAAATATATTTACTATAAACTGTTGGTACAGTTCAATGTAGAACCTTTTCACTGTATAGTTGGTTGGTTTTTTTTTTCTTTTTTTTTTCTCAATATTTGACTATGTTCTAGCTCCATGTGAGGATAATGATGTGGAGGACGAGCTGGGCACAGAGCCTGCAGACACAGAAGGGCAGGCAGGTGAAGAGGGAGATACGGGTGCAGAGCTGGATGACGGTAGGGTACCACGGTGCATCATTTAAACCTGTTATGTGAACAGAATTGGATTGTCAGAAAATACTTTGTGTGAGGGTACTTAAACCTGATCTTATTTTTAGTGATATAGGAGTTTGTTTCAAATAGTCAAGAGGGAGCCAGGAGTGAAGGACAAAAAGAAACAGAAGAACCTTAATGCCATCGGTTGTAGAATAAATTTCTTGTGTCCTCTCACCATTTACTAACT